ATGTTCACCGTCCAAGGTTTCAAATTCAGCTTTCATGTGCATTTGCTTTTCACGTATGCATGAAACGTTTAATGGGAATTTTGCGCAGCTTGGGAACCAAATAGCATATTGACTATTTTTTCACAGGCCGAAATGTAAAACGGCGAAAATCGTTAGAAAGCAAGTGTCCGCTGGTCAAACCTACGCAAAACATGTGATCGCACTGGCTACCCTGGTGCGTGCTGCTATTTATTACGTTTGCATAAGCATGCAAAAACGCACAAAGAACCAAATCGTGCTTCCATGACCTGGTCGTTCGCAAGGGCGACCGCAACTGCGTCTGTATCCTTATGTAAATGCAACACGTGTTGCCAAAAGGTTGTAAGTGTATATGTATGTATGTGTGTGTGTGTGTGTGTGTGTGTGTGTGTGTGTTCGGATTCTTGTCACCCACATTCAACCCAGTATTCGTAAGACCTAGGAAGCTGGAAGGATATTCCTAGCTCACGTGCCATCCAAAGAGCTTAAAATCAGCGTTCGTTTACAGCTGGTTCTAAAGTACGGCTGCCTAAAATAACTGTGCAAATATTTTGGCAGGGAAACGATTTCAGTAACTAGAAAAGATATAAGTCTGAAGTTTCGCACTGATGTCGTGTGTTTTTGTGTAAGCTAAAAATTACAAATTCAGCTTCAACGCACGCATACATCACGTGTACAAGCACTTCAGAGTTGAGATTTTCTCACCATTGGCAAAATACCAAATCGGGAACGAAGCTGATTAGAGCGCTTTCATGTTATCGTTATGGGAATATTTGTTGTCCATACTTGGACACGATGGCATGAAACGAGCTTTGGCGTATGTCTGTGTTGCAAGTTCGGACATGTCGGAGGTATATGCAACGGAAAGCGAATTTGCCAACTAATGGAGCTGAGAAGATGAGACTTTGCGAGGTTTTTCAGTGCCAGCACGCGATCTAAATATTTCAAATTTAGCTTCACAGCACTCCTAGGTTTCGCATGCGCGCAAGCGAATATTTAATTCGGGACACTGCTGACCCCAATTAACTCTGTAATCGGAAAGCAGTGTTTTTTTTTTTTTTTTGAGGATGTTTGTTACTCATGTGCGGACCACCAAGCGTAAGATAAGCACCTGTCCACGCATAGGTCTTGAGTGCAAATTCATCATATTTCCAAATTGCAACACCAAAGTCATACTCCAGTAGCATAGGCAATCCTGTTTACAGGTTGGAATTACGTAATAATGCATGTTCGTGTTGGCAAGTATGGTATGCCCCTAAAAAGCCTTATATTGGATGGTCTAAAACTCGTCAGCGTGAGCGGGAATGTGAAAAT